CCTTTTCTCGGGAAATTGAGTTAACTGAAAACCAATGTCAGAGTGTGAATTGGTCAATTAGTCAACATCTGTCAACACCTACCAAACATCACACTTCAAGATCGAGATCTGTTCGCTGTTCAAGTGTGGGCCCTTAGTATGACCATAGGGGGTGGCCGAAGATAGGAGAGGAAGCTTCATTATGTCATAGAGAACCCGGTAGTCTTGGATGTCTTTATGGGCCGAGGGTTTTTAACAAACACTTGAGGCTACAGTCTTTGGAACCTGCGGCGGTGGCATGGGCCCTCCACGCAATGATTGAACACATCCTCTGTGGTGAAACATGAGCTTCAAGGCTTCTGAACCAATCGGCCGCACCTTGATGGATTTTGGGTAACCCCCCACCCCCGCGGGTGGAATATGTTGTGTAAACTTATCTAATCATTCGAAGTGAGTTAGACATGATTCGATTACATTATTCTGACCCGTCGGCACACACCAGAATAATCTATGCCAAAAACTATTCCACAAGGTAACCATCATGTTTTGAGATGACCTGTGCTTGATTTTGCCTATGTCTGAGTTAGGGGGACAGCAATTTACTCCTGACGTGGCTCAATTATTGGAATCATGTTTCATTTGACACACACACATAAAAGCTTATGGCACAGTTTTGTTTTCAGGGAGCTCTGCGGTCATCGTTGATTTGGTTTGTTTATGGTATCTACATGGCATTGACCATGCCCCCCCCTCCCCCTCAATGAACATTGTTCCTAGGTAATTGTACAACTATGTGCATGTGTTCTTCCTCACGGGCTCTCCAGCGATGTCCAACCTTACTCATATTTAGCAAAATTGTTCTCAAGCCGGGTTTGACATCAAGATGTGGATTATTCCGATGGGTTGTTGAGTTCAAGCTTATGTAGCAACATTATTCTCAGTTGACATCAAAGGGTTTATCATTTCAACCCCCATGACATAGTCTTAAGACCCCCTCTAAAAGCATAATAAAACACATTCCGGCAACTCACCTTCCTAGAAAACGTTATATAATTTAGATTAATTTAGTGGACGGCCCATCTGAACCATGAGCTAGAGTAGCTGACAAGCTGCTTTGCTGGGCTCAACTGTCACCAGACGTAGTAATTGTCATGTGTTCACGGAACTGCTGCCAAAGCACGGAACTAAGGCCCTAGTGGCCACGTGTGGGCACAGTGCCGCCAGTGCGACCCTGCGAGCTTAGACCTGGACATATTCAAACATAGTCAGTAGATATAGGGATGTGATAGTGAACAATGGTAACGGTCTTGCAATTGTGCAGACAAGCGCTTTGTCTTTGGGAAGTCCTTCCTGGTTCAAAAACGCCTTTGGGACCCTAATTACATCGAAAGGTTCCAGCCCCCGGCTTCGGTGGTCTGGACACTGATGGCCCAGTGTCGGAGGTTAGGAGGCCAAACATCTGCAAGGGCGGGCCAAGTGACATGTGTACTTTTGCTCGTCCGTGTCTCCCGTTTCGAACAGCTCCACGGCAACTCCTGGCGACCTCTCCCCACTTGATCCACTCGGTCCGAGTGGCAATCCAATGCCCGAAGTGCCCGAGGGGTGCTCACCCAAGCGACCGACAGGACCTGACGCGATCTTGTGGGCCCCACGAGGTCGGGATGGATGTCAACAGCTGGACGAGTCAAAACGAGTCAGCTGGGAGCCACCTAGCACCATGCGGATCTCGTGTCCAATACGACAAAACTATAAAATACTAACCACACATAGTTCATATGAACTCAACAATGTTTAGGAGTCAGGAAGCCACCGGATGCGTACTGTAGTGGTCTGAGATTTGTTCATCGTGACCCACAGCAGGTCCCATTCTTTATACCAGCGGCCCCCGAGTGTCATAACAAGAGCCGGATTAGTAACCTAGGTCCCCCAACCGGTTGAGCCGTACCGTCCGGGTTGGACCGGCGTCTCCCCTGCGCTGGTCGTCCGTCGTCGTCCACCATCTGATGTCTTCTTCGATCGCTGAACACACCCTTGAGCCCCACATCGCACTGACGTCTTCAGTTGAAGTTGTGTCGACTCTTCAGGGGCAGTTGGAGGCACGGGAGCATGTCGGAGCATAGCAAAGCTCGCTACTCGTCGTGGGAAATCCATGGAAATCCCGCTTCCGAGTCGCGGCCCCTGCGTTGCCTTGTTTGGACCGGTCGTACACGGTTGCGGTTTGTCGGTGTTTTTTCAATCTGCTACAACATCCGACCACGTCTGATGCGCCCCTCTGGGCGTATGACCCTCTGGATATGTGGGGACATGTTCTGGGGAAATGTTCTGGGCATGTACGAGCTGTACAAAGGGAACCGCGAACCTTATGAAACAATTATATATAGCGTTGTGAGATTGTGAGCGTTGGCTCAGCAACTTGGCAATTCTTCCTCCTCAACTTCCTAGGTTTTGACAAGCAACATCGCAACAATCTTGACATTTGAGTATATAATCATCTACCTTCGAGCGCGAGGTTGGGTGGACAATATGCCGTTTGTAGACGGAAGACCCACCCATCACACCATCACGTGTCTCTTCCAAATAACACGACCGACGACTTACAACCAAGCACTTGTCAAACTCCCAGGCTGTCATAGCATGCCATGGCCATGGTCATAGCGCTTTCTTACAACAATAGCGGTTGTGAACTCAGGAGATGCCACACATCGAGGGCAGGCTGCATGTCCTATGCTGTGTTTGCAATTGTGTCACCCATATCATTATCTGTGCTGGCCAAAGCTTCAACCCTGTAACTTCTCAAGGGCTTATCGCCAACAAATGTAGGGCAATCACATGTTATATTGCCACAGCTCACAGGCATGTGTTATATTATGTCTTATGCAGCAATCGCTGAAGAAACATACAGGATTGCCATACTGCAAACATGGGCAGCACCCCAAGAAAAAAAGAAAGCCGGCCAAGAACAGAACCTGAAATGCCCAAGGCACACTCAGCCGCAGCCACATCCCACATTGGCACTTGGTCCGCGGCACTGTTTATGTAGTGTGATTAAAAAATCAAGCTGAAGCTAACATGGGTGAGAGCAACATCAGTTACTCTGGCGAGTTCGCCAAGCCAGTTGAGCACCAAGAACTGAGATTCAACCTTACAGTTTTTTTGCTCGAGCTCCAAGAAGTAAGTGGAGTGCCAAACGATGTCTACATCATTCATCATCATTCTACGTCTCTCAGGAATGCGTCTGCGTGGGATGAAGCACTCACTGCTCTTGAGGGGAAACGGTCCGTCGGATCCTGCAGCGCGATGTCTGTGATGTCGCGTCCGAAGCGAGGTCTGGTTAGGGTGGAACACCATGCTTGCGGCTTGCGGAGTCCAAAGCCCATTAAAAAGATCTTTGCTAAAGAACCCTTTGTCTCTGGAATTCAGACTGCAAACACCAGCTCAACCTGTCTTTGAATGGTGGAGCAGAAGGCTACTAATATGGACACATCAACACCCGCCCGAAAGAAGTGATCAACACATCCACTGATTCGGTTGGTCTGAGGTTGATGAGTCGAAGATCAGTGACCGAACAAGGGATATATCATATGTGCTGCTATATGTTTGTTTCTTGTATACACATGTCTGGTTGATGAGGTGAAGGGTTCCTTGGATTGATTTGGCTCTACTAAACCCAGAGCCACCTCCTGAGATACTTATGTCGACCTCACATGACATGTATACAATACTAACATGTTCAAACACCAATAGTAAATGGACCCAACATGATACTATGTTTTTTGTTTTTCTGGACCCTGATTTTCAGCTGCTTCCAAACCTTGATTCTGGATGTTCAGCTCCTCCAACCTTTTGTTGCTTTAATTTCTTGCTGGATGTCTGATTTGGTTACTGCATTTTCCTTGTAAATGTTGTCCATTTGTAACCTGAAATCAACACGACAAAAGCTACCCCTCACAAGCAGGCCAAACCTTCAATTACTCCAGACCTCAAATAATACTAACACACCCTGGCTGGTTCTTTTGGTGGTTTCCTTTACAATTCCTTTAGATGTCCTTTTGGTTGAAAAGCTCCAGCTTGAAGGCCATGGTTGTTTACAGTCAACCTTTTTGGCTCAATCTTTCTGGATTTCTGATTTGGCTGCTGCATTTTCCTTTGTGTGCATTGCCATTTGTAACCTGAAATCAACCCACAAAAACTACCCGGCAGCCCCGAACCTTCAATTACTCCAGACCTCAAATGATACTAACAAACCCTGGCTGATTCTTTTAGTGGTTTCCTATACAATTCCTTTAGATTTACTGTTATATCATGTCCCTTTCTTGTCCTTTTCGCTTCCATTAATGTCCTTTTCTTTCCGGTTCTGTTCCCTTCATGTCCTTTTTTTTCCCTTTCATTTTCCTTTCGTTTTTCTTTCTTTCCTTTCATTCTCCTTTCATGTCCTTTTCTTTCATTTCCTTCTAGATGCAACATTATACGGAGTCTGCACTTGATCAAGGAGGGGTTATTAATATGAGGACAGTATCCACTCGGACTGGGTTCCCCGGAGCAAGTTTGGTAACTTCTGGATGTTCAACCTTTCCCAGCACCACAAAGAAACGACCTCTCCGCTCACTGCACTTCAGTGATTCAGATGTTTCAAATAACAACACGACATGTCTTCAATTATGGGTGTGCATTGAAATAGGGAGACCTCCCAAAGACCCCCCTGGAAGAAAAGTAATAGACCAAAACCCATTGGTTGGGGGTCTCCCTATTGAATAGGCACCCATATATTGTCTTGGTAGTTATATAACATATATAACCGTATGACCGCATTTGTCAAAACAAAACAGAAACCGTATTGAAACCCCCAAATGAGACATAGCACAAAGGAACGCGCCCTTCAGGTCTCAGAAATGTCAGTTCTGAGTGATGAACATAAACAGTTTTGTGCCTGTGAAGTGGCAAAGTCATGCAAATTCCGTTCACAGAACAGCGATGAATAGAACATCCAGCTAGCCATTGGATGCGTTCCTTAATAAATTTCCATGAAGTGACCATTCCTCCTCTGCTATGGAGGACTTGATGGGACGATCTGTCGATTGCCAATTCAAGTGATCTGTCGATTCGGCGCACTACCGCACTCCTTCCTTTTCGGCGCGTCTCCATAGGCGTCATGTGGTCCGGACAACTGACACCTGACTATGCTTTCGGGGGCTTGGGGTGGTGTGTGGGGGGATTTCTTTTTACAAGAAAAGCATAAAAAGATATAAAAAGGCGCCTAACAAGAGTGGGAGACAAGTTATGAACCTATACTAAACTGGGAAGGAGAGTGACTAGTGTGACTAGTGGGCAGTTGAGGGGAAGTGAGATGAATCAAGGGGCCCACTTGATCCTCTAGTCTTTCTCCATGCCAATGCAGGTGATTTCACCTGACGGGTACCTCGATCCGACCACGGATCGGCCGACCGCTCCATGGTTCGAGCGAAGTCCAGGAGGGAGGCGTCCGTTTCTGCCGGACACGGCACTTCTCATTCTGAGTGATCCCATCTCATCCCTTCAGGCCTTCGGGCCACCCGACGTGGGCATCACTCGGCACTGTGTGGACCACAGAAGGCTCGGTTTACCGTGTGGACCACCCCCTCTTCATGTCGTCTTCGGCTGCACTCTCTGGAATCATGCAGTGGAAAGCCATCTGTTTGTAGAGGAATCGAATATGTGTATATAAGATTATATATGCGTATATTGTTTTTAAACATAGATATATACCCAGCACATTGCAACTGAACCCCCTGCAGGATTGACAAAGCCACACCTTGCCCCGAAACAAGGGCAACGCTCGGGGTGCATCACTATGATGGTCGTTGAGTGATTTCGCATCATGTGCAAACACTGGGCCACAAGTTTCCGCCTACCACTGGCCATCTCACTGGACCCATCCAACCAGTCTTTGGGAGGTTGCTGCGGTCTGTGACGAGGAGCCCGCCATCGGGTCAACCGTTTGGACTCAATCAGCCTTGTCTAATCAACCTCCTGGGAGTTCAAAGGCTACTACACACCGTCCTTGTGCGTACAGTCCATGGTCCGGTCCGTTGCCTTACCTGAGAACAGGCTCCAAATCAGCCTCACAGGGCTCCAGGGCGTTCCAAACGCTGTGACCGTGGCGTTCCCAGTGACCGGGGGCCGGCCCCGAACGGGAAGACCACAAGCAGCTGGCTGGGCCAAGAGTCGAGCGGTTGGAATACATTCACCTTTTTCCATGGCACCAAAGAGTCTAACCGAGTCTAAGCGTCTTCACGAGTTCACAAGCCGAAATGCCATCTGCACACCCAAATGCGCCATGCGAAACCCAAAGAGTCCCCCGAGGTCGCCCCAGTCCAGCACTTGCTTGTTGGCCAGTCCACCCGCAGCTCAGGCGATAAAAAGGAGCGCATTCACTCCTGCAGGGGCGGTAAACATGTGCAGCAGCCAGCAACTACACCAACCAGGAGGCTCTTTATGTAGACTGTTGATGCAAAAATCCTGGGGCTTAAAACATATAATTATACAATATTTATATACCGTATATACCCATCATCGAACATCGGCGACTTTTGGAATCCTCTGCTCCAAAAAACAGTGGCATCAGCAGTATCAAATGTACGCCGACACTTCCGCAGGTGCCGAAGCTGTCCCTTTTCCCCCATCATTTGACACGATTGCAAAACCGCTGTGCGCCACATGTACTTTGCTTACATCGCAAATCTTTGATTTGTTCCTTTTCGGCTGGGACATGGGATTTCAACAGCTGCCACAGTATCTCTGGAGGATATCGTCGATTTAACCAAATTGGGGATCCTGTAAGCCCATGGCCCACGGGAGTTCCTGAGATATTTTCATTGAACAAGCATCAATGCATCAACTTTGATTGAAGGCGGCTTGCTCCTGCTTGGTGTAACTAAAGGTGTAATTAAATTAAATGGATGGCTCTTGACATCTAGCTTGGGCCCGGTGGCGCACTGTCCCATCTCCATCATCCATTCTCGGTGTAAGGATACGGATCACAAATCCCTAAAAACAGCAGGTCCAAGACGCAACCCATCGAAATCCATTCAATACCCTTTTCACGAACAAGGACAGCTCCGATGACTCTTCCGTGTTTGGCTCAGGTTCTCTCCAGGTTCAGACCTCTCAGGGCGTGAGAGGAGTGGTGAGGCGTGTCCCACATGGATTTGGGATTCTCTTCTCGCCCATGAAATGGTGAACAAGGTAAAACGAATCGGAGGCGGACACCATTCTTTGGAAAGAATATCAATAAAGACAGCAGTGCAAGATGTCTAGGCTTGTTTAGCAGGCGATTCTGCCAACTTTTGGATGATAAAGGATCACCCTCGATTCAACTAACCATGGAAGTGGAGAGTGGCCTTTTGGAAGACTGCGCGCCTTCCCAAATGAAGGGATTTCAACTTCCATGATTTGCTGGATAAAGGGCCAATAAAAGGCTAACTAAAGTACAGTTGCTGCTTGAGATTAACCACAGATTCTCGGCTCGCACTTGACATGCAACCTGCGCGATGCTGAACAGTTGTCCTAAGACCATTCTAAATGGCAAACGGCGGATCCAAAGACCCTTTGCAAAACTGCCACTTGAATCATCAAGGAATCAAGGGTCCCGAATCAAGGGTGGAGTCATGGAGGTTATGAAGTAATATATGAAGTAATACAGTAATCTGAAGAAACATGCAGAAGCCAAATTGTCACATGGCTCAGGAAGAGTTCGCTCTGAATAAACAACGACAAAGCGATCGCTCCTGCCCCTCGACAGGGGCCACATCCTTAGCGCCGGCCCCCTTGTCATCCAAATATACCTCAGCCACAGAATCCCAAACTGGGAATTGAGACTCTTTGATGAGATTTTCATGACAAAAAGGTGTGACAATGTGACAAGCCTATCCCCTCACCGCCCCCACTCCCTCAGGTGCCCCATAAGCCCAGAAACCCCACGAAAAGCACCACATCGCCAAGTGCCCGAAAACGATCGGCCGAGGCGCTGCAAAGGTCACCTTCTTCCCGATCTCCGTTCGGAGGTTCCACTCACAATCGTCCTGGTCGGTTCACGAACGTGAAGACCAGTCAAGGAGGCTCAAGCTCCAAACAAACCCATTTTTCTTGCTTAGGCAGATATCACTATGCCTGCACCTTGAAAGGAATGCCCAATGGAGATCCATAGTTAAATAGTTGGTCTAGGGGATTCCGTTGATGAATGCTTGGAAGGTGCTAGTACACAATATTTTTGGAGGTCGAGGCACCCGGTTTGGAAGGACTTCCAAAAGACTTCCAATGTTCAGTTTGGAAGAGGCCACTTGCACAGGTCTGTAGCCTCGTGCCATGTCGCTTCGGCTCAAAACCCTTGACAATGGATCAAAAGAGCAAATTTACCAGTGCATCTGGGTGAAAGATCCACTTGTAAAAGTAGTGCTAGGACTCATGGTTCTCCCCCCACCCATCAGTTTAGGGGCCCTTTGGGGTTTAGGGCTTGCACTGCTATTTGCGTGGAATTGCTGAGAACTTGATGTCTTCTCAAATGTTACAGTATCTCTGTCATTGAATCGCTAAAACCCAAGACAACCTTCAAATGCCTGAAGTCCGTTTGGATTGTTTTTTGAAGGAACGCTGCTGCCCCCTAAAAGTGCTTGGGGGAGTCCTGCGCGCAAAAGTACCACACTCGTGCACGAGGTATATAATATATACAAATTGAAATATGAGGAGTCGCCTGATAAAAGAGGCCATCAATATCACACTTTTTTCATCACAGCAACCATGCATGGCTCACCCCGCTGCACCTTGCGGAAGTACAGGAGCTTCTCCTTACCCTTCTCTTCGGACTTCGCCTGTGCAAAACTCAAGGCTCTTAGCTGGTGGATGTGCGAGGCGCAATGTTACCAAAGACGCGCTGCTCTTTTTGGGGAACGGTTGCATATGCTCAACAACTGGTGTGGCGGATGCTGGTGAAGGTTTCATTGGGCCAATCTCCATATTCATCCAACTTGTAGTAGTGATGTGGAAGTGGATTGCAAAGCATTTCCACCCGAGGAAAACATGTAAACATGTGTAAACCAAAAAAAACTTTACTAAAAAAAACACATCTAGACTGTATGTGTATATATATATAATTATATATACCTTGAGTCTCCAATGACCCTTTTAAATTAGCCTTTCCAAGAAAAAGAGGTTTCTGAAAGAAAGCACTCTTTTTTGCATATGTCACGAAATGTTCATTTTTTGCTTGTGCCCTGACAGATCCTCCTTAGACAGTGTCCTGAGACCTTTTTTCGGCGTCCAGAACGCGTCTTTAAGCGTCCGCACCGGACATGTCGGGATGAAGATTCACTCTGTACCTTTTCTATGGGTCTTCATCTCCGAAACGCGTTTTTCGAGCAAAAACGCACAAATGTTAGACCAAAAACAACAACGCAGAAAACAACAAGGTCTTTGGAGACTCAAGGTATGTATATATATATATATATATACGAGTGTTTAGGTCGTGAAGTGCTGCTACTGCTATGGCCCATTCCTACTGCTTTCATTCCGACTGAACCCCCACGGAGTCTCCACCCCAACGCCCTGACGCACGGCCCGGAGTCACCTTCGCCGCGGCCTGGGACGCGGTCTCGTCTAACTTCTGCTGCACCTGGCAGGCCACGGCCACCGCGCGTGGAGACCGAGACCCGCACGGTGTGAACCGGGTGAACTGGGTGAACCAAGGGGGGGCTTGCTCACGCCAAGGGGGGTCCTGTTGTGACACACGAGAGCGAAGGTCCGACCCAAAATGGGGACGGTAGCTCCCATGGATCCGAGTCTCAAAGCTGCTGTCACAAGGCCTACGTGTGGGTATATTTACATGATATGAACACATGTATAATCCCAGACACGACTAATGGGACTGCCATATATGCCTACATTGACCCCCAAAACCACCCCAATGTAGGCAGATATGGCATACATGGAGTGTCTGGGTATATATATATATATTATATACATGTATGATCATGAATGTATGTTCCAAATAATGTTGGATCCTGATTAGTAAAGGGGGGTCCCCCCCCCCTCAAACAAATAGGGGTCCCTCTATAATAAACTATCACCAAAACAAATCTGGATTCCTGGTGAGGGATCTTTTGTAATTGATTGTGGTATTCATTATCCTTTTGCTTTGCAGCCTCAGATCTTCAGCTCAAGAGAAGCCCCAAGCTTTCAGCTTCTTCCTCAGCTTCCATGGCTTCCTAAGTAAAGGAAGATTCCATGAGCAATTTTTCCAGTGGAAAAAACTTTTCACAATTGAGGACCCAAAAGCAAATTTATTATTGAGGATCAGGTGCCTTCCTGGTCTACTACCTTCAAAATTTGTTTAGGAGCAATGTTTTATAAAGGGTTTAATTGGGGAATTGGTGGTTTTGGTCAGCTGTCAGTTTTGAAGAAACCTAGAGAAAGCTATATCAGCTAATGAATCATAATCATTGGCCTCAGAAGGAATTCAAACCCTTATTAAATAGGTTCCCAATATAAAAAAAAATTAGGGCCCCCAAAAAAGTTAGCATTATTCAGGAACCATTTTTCAAACATGGGGTCTGGAATAATTTTGGAAAAATTTAGCATTATAGAGGGCCCATTTACTAATCAGCATCCAACATTAGTGTAAATATAATCGTGCGTGTGCGTATGCTACATGCTGCCAGTTCGACCTAAGGCCACCCGAGGCCAACCCTCGGTGAAAGCTTCCTGAGAAAAGCCTGTGACCGGTGGTGGCCGCTAGGATTTGGACACCAAGGCACTGCAGCGGGGAAGGTGCAGCCTGGATCCGGAAGGATGTGACCCCATCCTTGCCACCTGCGCAGGCGGATGGTCCGTGTGGTGCCATGGGGTGCCTGGGCCCCGATAGCGAGCGCTTCTTCAAGGCAGCTTCCCCCGCCGCCTTTAGGGCGGTGGGGGAAGCTTTCTTGAAGGAGCATGAGCTATCCTGCGTCCTGTTGGTAGTAGCTTAAGTAAGGTACTAGTTACCTCTTCTACTAGCTACCTACCTCTAGCTACTACTAGCTACCTCCAGCGGCCTTCCCCTCCTAAAAAAGGAATTGTGATTAGATGTTATTAGTCTACTCTTTTGAGCATGCTAAAAAGTCTGGAGACAGTTCTTGGTGAGTGAAAGTGTGCTCCTGCGGAAGAACCCAAATGAAGATGCCAAGTTGGTTTATAAACGATTGGCTCTAGACCCTCTAGAGCCATTTGCCTCACCAATCTCTGTGCGTGGAAAGAATTTGGGTCCACGAAGAAGCTGAGCAGGACTGGGATGTCATGTCAACATAGTTGTTAAGTGGAAACCACTCCCAAACTTTTGGAGTGCGTGCAAGCACGAGCACGCCCCCTTTTACAAGTCCGACATCCATCTACAACCCCAACGGGCCCCAACGTTCTATCCCGCAATCGGTGCCCAAGATGCCTGTGCCACCACTGGATGACCCCAGAGTACCTCTGGCCTCATATCTGCCGGCAGCACCAACCGAAGGCCCTCTTCCTACAGAACATCCAGGCAGCCTGACTGCACAAAGCCTAAGGAACTCCCAACAATTCCGGCAACAAACCGCAATCCACGCAGGTTGTAACACAACCAATTGCAGTGCGGCCACTACAGAAGCCACACAATTGCGGAATGGTCATACTGAAGGCTTTGATGCATCTGCGTGTCTGGAATCTTTATTTTTGTTTTTCGATAACTATATCGGCCGCGAGCTGGAAATCCTCCAAAATATTTGACAATTGATATCGATATGCCCCTCAGAAACCCTGCTCCAATAAGTAGTCAAACAAACAACATCTATATAACAAACCTTGGCTCCCTGAATAAACCAGCACTTGGGAATTGAGACATTCATGTCTTGTCTCTTGTGGATGCTATGGCATCTATCGTGGCCCAATACAAAAAAGGATCCCCTCAATTGGGGTAGCTGGGTTGTCTCGTCAATCACTCAACAAAAAAACATGTGGTACAAACATGCGCACACCTACTTGAATAGCAATGGCCTCCAACCTCATCTCCTACTTCACTATTCAAGGGGGACTGGTATGAGCTGGTCTTACAGAATGTCCACTCCATCCACAAAGCCATCATTGGAGGAAGTGCACATGGGCACCAAAACACGTCTGAAAACCAAACAACAACAACAACAGCAACAGCTTAAACGACTACTTAAGCATTAACAGCATCAGCTTGAACAACAACAACAACAGCCTAAACAAGGAAAACACACTAACAACAGCAGCTTAAACAACAACTTAAACATGAACAACAACAGCTTAAACAACAACTTAAACATTAAAAACAACAACTTGAGCAACAACTTAAACATGAAAAAGCAACAACAGCTTAAACAACAACTTAAATGTTCAGAACAAATCAGAACAACAACTTAAACATTGACAACAACAGCGCACCCCAAATCGCTGGTGCCTTCTGAGGCCCCAAACCGGCACCTTCCTCCTGCCGGTGCTCAATGGCCTCCTGTGTGATCGGAGTTCCTCCTGTGATGCGGACGGCTCACGATGGGCTCCACGACGTGGGCGGACGGCTGCGTACGACGGCACGACGTACGCTCACATGGTTTTTGATATTGATTCGCTTCAGTAGCCACTAGTCAGCTCTCAGCAAAAAGAACAGCATCTTAGGGCATCTCACACCCACTTTGGGACCCCCTGGACCGTTTTTTTTTTTACTTGTGCCATACCCAATGGGGCGCACGTTGTCACGTTGCCAACCATACCTGCGCGCCACGGTGGAAATCACCCGGCCGACTGACCGGTCCGGACCTGGCAATGTGACGTTGTAGGCCATGAACTCGCCATTCCTTGGAGAAGCGTCGACGACGCTCTCCGAGAAGCGTCACACGCCGCGCCTTCCCACCGGGCGGTCCGGGCGGAGTCGTGGTGAGGGCGTTTCGGGAGGTCGGAGATGGTCGGAGTGTTGTCCAAGCGGCTTGCCCTTGATGATGCCGAACTCGATTGCCAGCCTGGGAAGATATGGGAAGAACTATGGAGAACTACCATTCCAGCCGTCGACCTGGGACTTGTTCAAAAGGGAAGTGCAGTGAACTTGCCAACAGAAAGAGATGCATGCAACTATAATCCAACATGCTGCATGCTGTGTCTTAAGCAACAAACTACGGGAACTACAGCTTGCAAGAAGACTATTATATATTTGTGTCTGCATGTAGCAGCTCTGACCTTGACATTTCAGCAGCTGAGCTAGCTTCGGGTTTTGACTCTGACAAGTATTTACTATGGTTCCTCGTATACTTGAAACCAAGAAGCTTCGTCAATCCAAGAAGCTTATCAATTCTCATCCTCAAGGACTTTCCGCCAGTGTTCAATTCAACCAGGTCCACCTGGTCTGGTCTCACTTCGATCGTCATTCCGAGAGTTTTTCTTCCAGATGCACCAGGGAAGAAGGATCTCCAAACAGGCGCAGGGATCGTCGAAGCCGGCGGGTCGGTGACCGAAGAGAACGGCGCCGACAACCGGTGACGGTGCTCGTTTCGGTGCACCGAATGGCTTTCAAGATCCAGATCGAAGGGTGGGGTACACTCAATAAGAAGAGCATGTTGTTGAGACCATCTGAGACGTTGAACAAGCGAACGAAACCACGGTACGAGTAGTGCAGTGAACAAGCGAAACATGTGAAACAGGTCGGTTCTACTTGGCATTCGAAGAAAACACGAGATTCCCACAAGACTTGGACAAAAGCATGTCAATACCTGCTGGCGTTTGAGGCAATTTTTCTTTCGGTGAATGGTCGTTGGCACTGGTGGCTGATCTAGAAATCCAAGGTAAATGGAACATCATCTCGGCCCATCTCCTGGTTCACTAAGGAGATATTGGACCATATTTGGCTAAAGGCAACTGCTGGGTGCGGAGCATAGAACCACTCGCGGACATATTTCCCTGGCAACTGCACCCACAAGGTGCTACTCCGGTAACATAAGAACTCGTCCTGTGGCAGCTTTATCCCCAAGCCTGATTCCATAATTGGCGCGACAGACTCGTGGACAAAGATCGCATCAAGCGGCGTCAAGCGTAACAAATGATAGCCAAAAGGCTTGAACTTATGTAGTGCATAGCTCAAGGAGCAGCCAGCTGCAGGGTTCAATCTGTCAATGTCATAGTCATCGTTCCAGTGAGGTGACTTCTCGGAATCCCAATGCATTGAATATCGAAATGGAGGTGGGACATGGAAGGCGATCTCCAGCTGCATCACCTTGGGTCGCACCAGCTGCATCAGCTCCTCGGCCACCAGGCAATCCACACCATCAATGTCCACCACCAAAAAGTCCAGGGGCCACGGTGGCAGCGCCTCTGGAAACATTGGACCCAGGAAAGGGAGCAGTCGATGAACTGCATTAACTGGGTTCAAAGACAGGTGCACAGGCACAACAGTGGCAGAAGTACTGGCCATCTCGAGCTCACAGCTCTTCAGCCTAGTGGCATCCCCTTCCACAGCGAGCCCCAGGAAGCCATGCCCTTCAGAAGACGCCAAAAGTTGATATAAAGGATCTGGAGGTAAGCAGGTGCCAGCTCCAATGTTGACAAAGGTCCTCGTGATCTGCATATTGCCTCTCAGGATGACCGCCAACGGCCACAAGACGGCTGACCCATCCAGCATAGCCCTTTCGCCGTTCATTTCGATGGAGTCGGAAGGGCACAAAACGTCGGGAGGATGCCAACCTAAAGCCCAACGGCTTCTGCTGGCATTGAAGTTCGCCTCATTAACTTTCTCTTCTGGCAAAAGCTGCTCAAAAATTGATAGCTCCGCGGGAGACAGCAAAGGTGTGTTGCGCGTGTACGCGTTGTACAAAATCTCCCTGTCAGCTGAGACGCCAGCCTTGCAGCAGTGTGCTGCCATGTCTGCAATTATCCAACATCGACGAGGAGGCACGGGCGTTCCTGGCCAATTGCAGCACCATTGCGGGCGCCGACTGTCCGACCAGCAGGAGATATACACCTCAAGTCGAGCACCATTTCGAGAAAGGCGGTAGCTGTCGCCATCGAAGCCTTCAATATGCAGCTCGCGTGGTCGAAGGGCTGGATCCAGATCTACATATTCTGCATAGCCCTGCAGGCGGCCAAAAAAAGTGGAACTCATTTCCTGAGCCACGCAGCCGCTCTCCAACGCTACCATTGGCAAAGGAGTCTCCACTTTGCATGCAAAGACTAGACTTCCCCCGCCAGCAAGCAAACATCGGATGGAATTGCCAGACATCGCAAGATGCGTCACTGCAGCAAGCTTTCCTACAAGCATCTGCCCCCATGTCCAGTGGCATGCCATCCTTCTCAAGCCCTAAACACTGGAGACCATCGAGCTTCTCGGAAGCTGAACAGGTTGCAGCACTCACCGCAACCGCTGACAGGTGCAGCATGCTCAAAGCTAGGACGACAGGGCTGGCCCAAATCCTTGAAACACGAGTGCAACATAGTGCCATGAGATGCTGTGAGTGCCAAGGTGCTTGAGCCAGCCACGGAACGCTCACTCATGACTCATCACAAGTCCTTGTTAGCCCTTGGCCCTTGACATCCAAGAATCACACAGAACTCTGCATGAAAAGTGCGGTACCGACCTGGTCGCGGCACGCTAGCATCGCACACTCGACTCTCAGCTCTGCTCCGACTCAGCTCCACATCGGGGCAGTCAAAAACTGGACGCACTCACCTTAATCTCCTTCGGCACAGGGTCTTCCATGGCAAAGCCATCATCTATACTGACCTCGGTCATTTCTGAGCGTCTTCTTGGCTTGGTGCTCTCATCTTTCAGTATAGTAGATAGTTATAATATATTGTAATTACATGTAATTACAGTAGATGATTCTAGTCCGCAGCTGGAGTTCAGAGGCTAATTTTGTGTGATGACTGTCCAAAGTGCATAGAATCAAACGCCCATTGTCCCATTGTGCAAGTGGGTAAGTATCCCGTGTCAAATCTGGTCTTCCATGTGCATTGTCATGAGCATCCCAAAATCGGGCCACGTGTGCGTGACGATCGTCATGAAAATACCCTCTTGCGTCTTGCACACAACGACTTGCCTGGGGAAGGAGCTCGAACACCAGCTCAAAACTCACAAAAGAAATCTGCAGAGCAAAATGGGCTCCCAACCCATCCGAAGCCGCGGAACTGGTCGAAGAATCTGGCCGAACAAGTCACGAAAAGTTGCCTTTCGTGGCACGCTTCAAAAAGAACAGCTGTCTATCAAATCCACGGGGGAGTAACTCTGCTTCCAGGGAATCTTCCACTTCGCTTCCCCGAAGTCAATTTCGGATGCTTCGGTGGAGTCCATATACCTTGTGTCCAAGGTCGGCAGAGCCACTCTGCGAAGGGCGCAAATCTCATCTGTCTCTTTGGTCATGACTAGGTGATTAGGCTCTCACAGTGGGAGATGCTACTTCTATAGTGGACTACTGTAGCATCACAGTTTAACGTCTTGGTTGGCGTCCCATTCTAATTACGAGTAGTGTCAAGTAGTAGGTGAAATATATACTGAGAAAATACTTGAAGCCCTTGAATGATGTTGGTTGAAATGGCCTTCTTGTAAAAGGGTGGAAGTCATGTCCCACGGAGTGTCTGGGGCCTGTGTCAACAAAAAGCTACTTCGCGCTCAAAGCTAAGCTAAGCCAGAATTTCTTCGAACATGAACCTTGGCCTCTGTTTTTCCTATTTCTTCACTCTCGTGTCTGTTCAATCGCACTTGGGCCGCAATTCACCACGAAACCAGGACAAAACAGGCCAACAATAGCAACTCGAAAATCTCGAAAGCAGTCTTCAAGGGACAAATCAAACATCAAAAACAAAAACTGTCCGGCTTTCATACAAACATCATAAAACACCGTCACGTTCTTCCCGAGGCTCCCGGCTTCACTGTGCCCGTATAGCGAAAATTCTGTGCGCCGACGAACCTCAGTCATGAGAGGCCCTCTGTGACGGAAAACGATTGAAAAAAGGGGAATGTGTACAGGAACCGGATAAAAATAACCCAGTTCACCCACCTACCTACTCCCCCACCCACCCTGGAAAGAGATGGAACAAGACTTCACGGGCTCGTTCTTGTCCTCGAAGACTTGGTTGTTGGTCTTTGGGTCACTCTTTCGATCATTAGGGGGAGAGTGACCGAATGTGTGACCAGGCTACCACCAATGAAAAAGCGTCCATCATACCCGCATGGTCGACTGCACTCCATGAGAGCAGTCCTTTCTTGCGGCTGAGCAGTCCTTGCTCGCCTCCGGACTAGTCTTTGGGGAGAGGCGGAAGTGGATCTGTGAAGCCTGGGCAGGCTGCCTCGGCACCCTCCGTCTGTTGGATTTCGTGTGCACATGCCATTACCCGAAGAGAAGACGGTGAAGAGAAGGCTGCTCTCGAACCTTTGGTCCACACGTTCATGGGTCATGGGTCATGAAGATCCAGCAGTGTTGGATCATAGTGTTAGTCGGATTTGGTTGCTCTTGCCCATGAAGGAGAAGACAACACATGGATGACCGGTCTTTGAGTGAAGGCCCTGAGACGACTCATCCTCCATCATCCCCTTCAGTTTCAAGCCCTTGTCCACTGGGCCTCAGGGTTTGCCCAAATCCTTCTCCCTGCGGGGGCTAGAGTGCCACACCACAATGGTTTTCCATATTCTAGGATCTGATTGAGACTCTTCCATTGGGATCTTTAGCAGTTGGGTAGTGTTTTGAGCACTGGCCATGCAAACAACCAGCATCATTCATGCATTTGGATGCATTTGGCAGAACATTGCCTGGTTTTTGGGACCTCTCCATCATGCTCAAAGTCTGAAAAACAAGTCATAAACCCTGCCTGAAACAATCATGGAAGTGGACCATAGGCCCCCCTGGAAGACAACTTTCCTCTGCAACAAGGGAGGGTCTGCTCAGCTTCCATCATTGTCTGAGGGAGGGTAGGCATTAAATTGTTGAAATTCCATTCAAAATTCAAACTATATAGTATAAAGCAATGTAACAGTGTATTTATTTATATATAGTGTAAAAGGAATTCGGTCTGCCACTGGCCAGTCTCACCTTCCATGGCTATGTCGGTCCTTCAACTTGCGCTTGCAGTCCAGTCGCTGCATGCTTTCAGCGTCCATGGCATCTTGGATGTTCACCAGGCCTGGCCCGTCGCTGCAAAGGTCATACCTTGGTCTAGGGTGGGATACTCCTATACTCCCACAAGATCAAAAAGCAAGACCTGAATCCTGCAAATGAACGGGGTTGAACGTCGTTCCATGTCGTTGCTGCCTATTTGGGAGTGAACACCCCCATGCATCGCTCTTGCCAGCAAAGGTGATAGCTACGATCAAAAAGTGACCGTCTGAAGCCTCAAAGCAAAAACATGTTTCTCGCTTGGACGGATGCGTTTGGATGGACGTTGAGAACGTCGATCTGGAGCCTCCTCCTGGAAGAGTCACAGTCTTGGCTTTCAAACATCTCACTCTGCTCCAACCCTTCCTGCCGCGCGAGCAAGTTGAACCGAACCATGCTCAAATGCGGAGGTGTTCTCTTTTTGGTCGGGACTGACTACGATTTGGGGTAAGTGGCTGTGATTGTGAGAGAACGTCATCGAGCAAAGGAGAGATGGGACATAGAATGAGCACCTTTGCAAACCTAACATGTATCAACTAAAACAAATCCCACATTCTGTCTCTCTACTGCTCTCCCGAACTGACAATTGTAAAAATGCAAACCAATATAGGATTAAGAAACCTCCCCTAGTTAATCAGAGCCTACAAAGCCTCGTTAATCATACGTAGTATTGGTGGCTATATTCCTCAATCACTTAGTTGGGCACCAGAACCCCCCCCCAGTTAATCCGAACCCCCAACATAACCAGGCGAATTTTTCTGTTACTGTTACTATTACTGTCATTATTGCTGCTACTGCTACTACTGCTACTACTAGTGCTACTGCTACTGCTACCGCTACTACTGCTTTTACTACGGGCTTTCTACCTATGTTTCATAAAATGTCTAGGGTTCAGGCCCTCTAAATTCCCTTTTCAAAAACAATCATTTGAGAAGCTCACAGAGGGTACCCCTCACAAGGGCTCGTCCCCCTCAATAGTCCGCACCACTACTCCCTATTAATTTGATCCTGTGTCCCTGGCCTTTTGTTTGTGCTTGTTTAAACCTATTGTGACTACTACTGCCACTACCACTACTGCTGCTGCTGCTGCTGCTGCTGCGACTACCACTACTGCCGCTGCTGCTGCTACTGCTGCTACTACTATACTACTGCGACTGCGACGACGACGCCGACGCCGACGCCTACTCCCACTCCGACTCCGACTCCTCCTCCTACTACTACTACGACTACTACTACTACTACTACTACCAGTACTGCTACTACCGCTACAGCTACCGCTACCACTACCACTACCGCTACCGCTACTCCTACTACTACTTCTACTACTTACTACTTACTGCCTACTACCTACTACCTAGTACCTACTACCTACTACCTACTTACTACATACTACTTACTACTACCTACTACCTAAAACCTACGTTACTACCTACTACGTACTGCTGCTGCTGCTGCTGCTCCTGCTCCTGCTACTACTACTACTACTACCACCACCACTACGACTACTCACTTAGCAGATTATGGGCCTCATGAATGGTACCTCAGACCTTCTAGACCTTCTAAGATTCTAGACCTTCCACGTGGGGGGCGAATCCGGTCTTCGCATTACTAACAAATGCATGCGGCTGCATGCGTGAATAGTAAGGCACGCTAGAAGCACCGCTATCTTTACTTCCATGAGAGTCCGTTACAATCGGTCAATGCCCCTCACATGCTGCTCATGTTTCGCACCTGCTGCGCGAAGAAAAAGAAAAGACCATGAAGACCCAAAAGCCCAATGAATGACATAACATCACTGCCAGCGACTTTCTTTGCACACCAACTTGGTCGTGCTACACATGCTCCGCTTCTCGAATTGGCCCGTCTTTCGTTCGAAACCGAGCGGCCAGTCGTTGGTGATCATGAGGCCAAACTCCACCCTCAGATGCTGAGGCTTTTGACCAAGGTACCCGAGAGTGCCATGCCCATGTTTGTTGGTACAAGTACTATGCCCCGGATTTTTGGTGGTCTTCTCTTCAGATTCATTCTATAAGTCCAAGTCTGGGAGAGAGTGCACGAATTCTGACTAGTGGAGCACTTCTGGTTGCAACTTGAGCGTGAAGAGCGAAGTAATTGTGTCCGGTGAATCTTGGAAAGAAATTGAGATCTCATGAGATCTCTATAGTAGGAGTATGTAGGAGTCCTGGAGTAATGGAAACACGATTCAAATCCAACCCTAAGGCATCGGCCTGGACACTGGTTTCCCCAGGGAATTCCAGCTAAAGACTCGTTTTCTCCAAGGCGGCGGGACACTCAAAGTCGGGGGTGCAAGAAGCATTGCGGACCGAGTCGACCAGTCAAACGGACCGAGTGGAAAGCGGTCAAACAATCAAAACATATGAAAACCACATTTTGTGCGATAGACAATAGGGAAACCATTGGACGACCGTGTTCCCCATCAGAGTGCATGAACATCAACATCCTGGCCATAGTTATTACAGTATGTTCGATTCATTAGAATCCAAATTTTGTTGCCAGGTTAATATTCCAGTCCAGCTCCCCCATTCACTTCTCAGGGAAGATCACCAAGCGTCTGCAGGCCTTGCTGTAAGCGGGGAAATCGGTCGTCGGTCTGGATATTTTTCCAGTGCACAAAGACTTTGTCCTCGGCTCGTCACACTGGCCGGCGGCCCCCAACAATGGACAATGGAACATGACTAGGCAATCGGACGCCTGACTAACCGTGCTGGTCAACTGGGGTCACGGACAAATTCTACATTTAATGTGCTCCTGCAGCCTTTGCCAAACCAACGAGTGAAGATCAGAAATCAATCTGATTCCAAATGGACCTCCACCTGCCGTCTACCCAGCCACTCTAGGGCCTTCGGGGCGGATTGATGGAAAAAAAGAGCTGCTGGACCACCTTTCAACTCCCATCCCACCAAGAAGCTCCAGGGACGACACCCTGCCGGCGGGACTACTGTGGCTGTGGAAGTTTCACCGCCCTAACGTCGCTTCAGGGGTTCCCCTGGCTCGTACGTTCTCATCGATTCCAAAAGGAGCTCCACTCGGAAGGTGTGCTATGTATACTCCAATCAGTCAACAGGTTTCGACTGTAAAAGAGGGAGCAGCAATACTCGATCAAAAGCTCGGGCACGCAGAGCCAACCCCCCCCAAAAGCTGTAATCTTTCTTTCTCAAGGACAACAGGTGTAAAGCTCTAAGCCATGTTCATGGCCATCGCTGGGTGTGTTTATTCCGCTGAACAGCTCATGGAGGCCGTTTTCGCCGAGTCTAACACACTCGGTGAACATGCACCAATTGTTGGTGGAACCCAAAGTGGTGGAACCACCCTGCCCGGGGGAGTTCCACCAAGTCAGGCTCTAGAAGATTCTGCCCTGGGAACCCTTCGTTGCATTTTCCATCTTTCTCCTGCACAAGGATCGGGTCAAACATGGGACATACAGTCAAACATATCATTCCGATGTTGATCTTCACAGGATCCAATGGTTTCTTTTTGGGTTTTCGGGTTCTCTTTTGCTGCACTCCATCCTCGAATTGAACCTTCGAACCCTCTCACTGTGGCCGCGCTTCGTTGTTGTTTCGGCCGCGCTTCGCATCGCCCCAAAACCCGACGTACAACGAACGTCCCCTAAAGCGTCCCGTCGGCGTCGCCAGCCTTCTCGTCCATGGTGATGTGCCCAAAACCTCTCCATTTGTTGAAGTCTATGACCTCATTTTGTGCGTTTGAAAACCACCACTTGATACGGTGTCCGTCCCGCGGTCGCGGGTCCCACGCACAAGAGTGCGTGTTTTAGATGATGCAACTTTGGCCTTTGAGACGATCATTTAATGGGTTCAGCACTGGTTTTTGCAATGTCTGGAGCTTAAATAAGCTAGCGAAAGGGATAGAAGATGATAGAAGTGATAAAGGAAATGGAAAGCCTCCCTCATGGAACTGTAGAAACCACAAATTGTTTGTAAACGTCCCAACAAATCATGTCCCACACCTATGTGGCTGTGGGTCAAAGCTGCCACCCAGCGGCTGAGCCCGTATAGCGGGCATCCTGGCGTCAAGCCGCTGCACACTTGGGCTTTTTAATACGAACCGTCGTCTGCCAAGAGCCCAGCTACTCCCCACTGGTAGTGACTCTATGCAACTCTTGCCGTGCTTGCATCGACCTATTTTGATCTTTTTCATCGACCCTCGAGACCACCCAATATCCAATATCTCCATATATCTAGTATGTCTAGTGGATCAGGCCAAAACAGGTTGCGACGTGTGGACATGGATAACTGCTAAGTTAGGTCCCTGCACATGCAGCCCTCGAGCCTTGTCCACTGTGAAGTCATCCGGCAGCACACTGGGGGCTGACGCCGGCGTGGCCGCGGCCTTCGCGTCGCCTGCGTGCGGAAGCCCAGTCGAATATTGTAGGAAGCCCAGGCAGCCCAGGCACCAAATAAAGAGGAAAAGCTTCAATTATTGAAAAGGAACCCGTTGTTGTAAGTGCTATTAGCTATTGGTGATGGAAAGCCTTCGCTGTCTCCAACCCAAAGGCATCATGTAGATTAATGAAAACATGTTGAAAACCCATCAAAACCTCCATAGGAAGAGGGTTTAACAATCCAAACAGGTGCAGTAAGGTTGTCCAGATTCTACATCCGAGCGATCGAAGGAGGGCTCCAGATCGGTGGATGGCGCCTGTTTGGCCCCTGGGGGTCAATGTGGGCATATATGGCAGTCCCATGGAGTGTCTGGGCATTATTGCCCATGGTTATACAAGGGGTGTCCTTAAAAAAAAAAAAGGAACCCAACTCCCGTCAGTCCTGGATGGTCCTGGTCCGGTGTTGTGACTGCATTCTTGGCTTGCATGGACTGATGGTTTCCAGCGAGATCGAACTGCTCATGAAACCCGCAGCGGCGCCAACCAAAAAAAGGCACAGTCACAGCAAACTAACATGGAACCTCAGACTTGACCCGTGGCTTCGACCAGTTTCCCAATACCAACCCAGTGGTTTGGGGGTTCCATGTGGTTCTCAGACTCTCCATAGGTTCCCCACCCATTCTCCGGTCTTCCCCACTCTCGCTGAACCACCTGCGCTGGTCTTCTGGATGGTCTTTTGGACTCCCAGCGTCATGACAGCAGACCCCACGCCGTCGCGCGCGCGCCGCGACCGCGCGGCTTGAGCCTCTGCTTGGTGTGGTGATGCTGCACAATGCTGCTTGCTGCTGGAAATCCCGAAGAACTAGGATGCAAACGACTTCTTTCCCCCAAAAAAACGTCTGCAATTTACTGTGAACTGTGATCTGTCATGGAGGCAAAGTCTTGCCTCTACTTGGCTACAATTCCCGTTAGGGTGGAACCCAAACATGACCACAAGGATCAGGGACCAAAGAGCATGGAGGCCTCTCGAAACAAAACAGTATAGAATAGTATGAGCTCAGTACAGTACCTTGGCGTTGGTCGCGTTGGTATCTCGCACAAAATTCCGACACCACCTGCTCATGACCAGGGATGTTCCACAGACTGGCTGCGAAAACGAAACAGTCAATCAATCGTCAATGTGCAAATTTGGGATGCTTTGTACAATTGCAAAGGGAAAAAACCGCCTGGCTGCCTCAAACCTACAAAATCCTACAAAAAGGGCATGGCCAACAAGGAAGCGAACGGGGCAGAACAGCCGGACACCCAATTTCCCACCCCTTGATGAGTCCAGTTGAGCAACTCAAACACTGCATCAGCAACTCGCAACCCCCAAAAAAACAACCGCACCCAATAAGTAACTAGACGTCGACGGTTTCCTCTCTGAGTCCTGGAGTCCTACACCCTCGTTTTGCAGACCCGGGGCCTTATCAAGTCGCACGAGACCCCAATTGAATACAGTAACCTACCATGCATTGTACAAGAACTCTTCCTGGGGCCCGGAAGATCAGGGTGTTCCTCCAGATCTGGGTCCGGGAGAAGGACTTGCCAGGAACTACAATGTCATGAAGTTGGGTGTGCACTTAATGTAGTCAACTCCATGGCTTCACGCGGAACAAGAATAAACATGAGACAAAACCAAGGTGCTGTTAGAATCTCTCTCTGTCTCTCTGTATATATATATATATGCACACATCCCGTCTACGTCGAGCTTTCTTTGGCACATGTCCCCAAACAAGCAAGGTATTAAATATTATTATACCTATAATCTGCCATCAAACCGCACGCCGTTGATGGAGGGAACTTGCTGCGAACGTCCGTGCTCTCATCACTCTCACTCCAAATCGACTGAATGTTTCGAACAACCCATATGCCCGGTTGTGTATAAGCTAACATATGTATAGGCACATGGACGTATCAGTATAAGCTCTCTTATGTGTATATGCATAAGCTCCAAGAGTCCTTGGACTCATCAGGTGAAGGGAACAAAATAGTGCACGCCGTCAGTAACACCGAACGCTCCACCACAGCTTTCTTTCGTTCGTCCGGTCTAACGAACAGGGCGCTTGGCCCAGACTCATCTGCTTGGCTTCTGCGAGCCCCAGTGGCATTGATGTGATGTGACTGTTGAACTACTGGCCAGCCCAAAAACTCCTCGAAAAGGTCAGGGACTCCTTGGCTATCCCCGACTCCTACATCAAAGGCACAAAACAGCTAAAGTTACATACAGCTACCAACAACTCAGAGCTGACAAAGTCTTCAAGCAGATTCGCTGGCACCGGTAGCTACAGCTACCGTGCACCGTCTGACGTCTCATCCGCCGACGGCAGGCTGGAACAAAGTTGGGCAAACGGACGGGCACAAAGACTGGATTCGTTCAAGTTCCAAGATCCTGCAAGCATATGTGGCACTAGTGTGCTTGCTCTAAGTACGTCAACAACTAGTTTTAGTTGTGTTAGGCCTTCTTAGGCTGAGTTCATCTGGTGTCCAAGGTTTAAATAAACACCCAGCACATCGCCTCACGATATCCCGATCATTTCGCTCGCCCCACTATGCTCCTTGCATAGACCCATCTGGGCCCTGCAGTTTCTCATGTTCTTGCTGGGTGAGACACGAATTCAGCGCGAGCACGGCCCTGTGTGGGACTTTATGTCTACCCGCAGCTTTTCCGTAATCCATGCCACTGGCATGCCTGGCCACAGCTACTTTTGCGCCACCTTCTGCTGAATGCAGCAGGTGTTACCAACGAAAGTTCTTAATTCACATGATTTACTAATAATTTATGTATATTAAAATAACATCGTATATATTGGGTGGTTCACCAGGGACGCCCGGGGTTTTGGTTCCAAAGCCGCTTGGATGACCATGGCGTGCCAGTGGTGAGACAAGTTCAAGGGTGGCGCCACGAGTTTGGCAATAAGCGAGCCGATCTTAAGGTCGAAACAATGGGGCAAATGGCCTGACACCAAGAACCTGGATGGAACCCCGTCCGGCTTGTAGAAGGGTGCGGAAATCTGAGCTGCCCTGACGTTGACCAGTTACTTATATACCGAGGACCACAAAAATCCGACAAAAATCATCACCATCCATCATCTTCAATCCCCCACTCTTTCCCTTCAAACATTCAGGAAAAACACACTTCCATGGCAGGGTCTTTCAGAAATGCAACCGAAAAATCTTCGGATCCTTCGTATCGCGATGGATCGGACGGACTGCCCTGTCCCGGACTCGGAGTCGCGATCCGATCGACACTCGAAGGCGAGAGACGTGGATTTGGTGGGATGCATTCTCATCTCTCCATCCGTGAAATCGAAGCACCAATTGAGGCAAAAGTACCAACTTGAAGCACAAACCGCCAAGCCTCACTTACTGTCGTTCTGCACTCGTCAGCCACAAAAAACATCGCCACGCGCCCTCACGGCCAGGGTGGGAATTCGCTGGTCACCCCATCTGCACCATCGGGGGATCTGCGCAGTGCGGCTGTGCGGGCTGTACACGCACAGGCTCTGCACCGCATCGGCCCTATGAAGCGTTAAGACGCGTCCTGCGTCCAGCGTCTACCAGCCTCAGCCCTGGTAACCGGCACGGACCAGGCCACGTGCTTTGGGGAACGCGGCATCATTCTCGTCCTCTATGGGATCCGGGGAGTGGAGAAAATTGGCACCCAACACTTGCTTCACTCCTGGCATGCGGACCGAGTCGAGAAAATGGGAAAGCGCTTGAAAGCGCTGTGGACACCGGTTGGTGTCAGCGCCTTTGACGTATTTTGGGGATTCCATCAAGTGCTGTGGTTGGTAGTTTTGGGACTTCTTTGATGCAACTGGGTCCTGACATCTCCCTCTAGGTTCTCTACTCTTCTGGGAAAAGATTTTATCATCAAGCAACCATGGTACCCTGCACTTCAGGTTGCCAAAGCGAGTGGAACAATTCGTTTCCACTCTTCTTTAGTCGAAAGTCGTTTCAGTCAGTTTGGATTCCCCTGATTCCCTTGTTCATTGGGATACACAACAACGTAAATGCAAGGCTACAGCGTCATGACGACACTCTCCTGACACACTCTTCTCCACGGGCCACTGCTTTAACGGGAGAGCAATGGTAGAAAAACGACCTACCGCACACAATACTTGCAACATCTTGCAACATTGATCAATGCATCTTGCTTTGCTCTTGATGTGCGCAGCAATTCCTACATCTTCTTCATCCTCTTCCATCTTCGTGCCACAAACTCTCCGGTCTCTTCGTTTTCTGGTCTCGCGACGTCTTCTGAACTGCGACGGCAGCTGCCCAAACCACCGGCCTCGGCCCTTGCGCGAGGCCGTGCCCGGGCGGCCGGCCGACTTCACCCGCTGCTGCTTTCCTCCGTGGATCGAGGGATACGTTGGGAGGTTGGGCACCCCCTTTTCTGGGTGGATGAGTCAAGAAGGATGGTTAAAGCTTGGGAACCGCAAAGGAACAAAAACATCAAAAAACTACTGATAGGCCTCATGATGCCTCATGGGGCCATCTATCCTCCACGCCATGTCCAATTGGGCGATGAGGATCGATGATGGGGCGTGTCTCAAAGTCAAAACAAGCACATGACAAGATGTTCCGTCTCTATAGAACATTATCAGATTGCTCTTCTGAGACTTAATCAGGCTGCATTTCCTTCAGCCAACACCTCCACATAGAGAGATGCAAAATATGCAACCTGAAATAACATCACACCGAAGGTGAACAAATAAACAGTATTGTCCAACACTCTTTCTCCACTCTTTCACCACCTCATCGCCCACTCAGCTTGTGGCCATTCTTCTGCAGCTCAGTGGCCATTCTTCTGCGGCTGCGGGCGGGTCTCGGCGCGCTGCGCACCACCGTCCTCGGTGTAGGCGAAGTAGACCTGGGCGGCCCAGCAAAGGTCTGGCGTTTGACGGTACTCGCCATGCGTACTCGCCTGCGTGTGTTTCAAGTTGGGCCAGGTGTTCTGGAGGTCATCCAACCTAGAATGATCTTTAGGGTCCTGACTCCCAAACATATGAAGTACACCACCAAACCATAGCAGTGTTAATTCACTACGAGTACTTGCTCCTGCTTGCTTTAGGTCCAACAGTTGGTCTAACATATCCAGCTGCCTGGAGTCTTGCCTTCTTGGAATTCTCTATGTTTCCCCTTACTCCCCCAGTCTGGTCTGGTGAGTATGGAGCCCATAGAAATCCCACCTATCTAATGCCCTGCCTTATTTATTACCTGTGTGTGTACCCTTATATAGATTCCGCGATACCCACAAGAGCACGATAGTGTTACAACCTTGACCAGCTAGCAGGTCGACATGCTTAAGGCCAAAGCAGAATTAAAGCAAGAAAACAACACAACAACGACAACAACAACAGCAAGGTACAAACAAAAACTACAGCCCCGTTACAACATATCTTGTTCCTTTCTCTCTACAAGGGGGTGGAAACAAAATCTGCAGCTCCGTCGCTGTTTCTTAGACCCCCTCGAAAACAACCACCCAACATGTACTTTCACCAGTAGTGGTAGTGCTTGTACTGGTGCTAGTACTAGTGGTACTAGTACTAGTACTAGTAGTCGTTGTCGTAGTAGTCGTAGGAGTAGTAGTAGTAGTAGCAGCACCAGCAGCAGGAGGAGGAGGAGGAGGAGGAGGAGGAGGAGTAGTAGTAGTAGTAGTAGTAGTAGTATGCAGCCCTGTTGTTGTTCTTTGACCCCCCCAGAACA